TGGATGTAAAGCCTCTATTAGAGTCAAGCTTTTTTGTTTTTGGTGTTTTTTTGTGGGGAGAGGAGATGGCAGGACTTTTTCCTAGCTAGCATTGTGTTGGATATTATCATTTTCAGCGCACTCTTTTTTGTTTGTTTGTTTGTTTTGGTGAGGAAGATTGGCCCTGAACTAACATCTGTTGCCAATCTTCCTCTTTTTGCTTGAAGAAGAGTGGCCCTGAGCTAACGTCTGTGCCAATCTTCCTCTATGTTGTATGTTGGTTGCCGCCACAGCACGGCTTGATGAGTGGTATAGGTCCACGCCCAGGATCCGAACCTGTGAACCTGGACCACTGAAGCAGAACACACCAAACTTAACCACTATGCCACCGGGTGGGCACCTCAGTGCAGTCTTTTAAAAATATCTTTTCCTTTTTCTCTTGCCTTATCCTCTCTTTGTTTCACCTACCCCACCTGTCTACAAGTGATCCATACTAACAACCCACTGCCTATCCCTCCATATTTTCTCCGTGTTCACTTAAATATCTTTATGCACATGCACACAGAGATTCTCTGCTCGCTTTACAAAAATGAAGTCATGGAAAGCCTCCAAGCCAAGTAATAGAGCTCTAATTTGTTCTATATAATGGCTGCAAAATAATATTCCAAGTTTTCTCTACCACAATTTACTCATCCATCCCACTTGGAGTGGCAGTCACTTTGTTCCTGGTTCTTATTGCCATATCTCATTCATATATACTGGCTTTTGTTTTTATAGGCTAGATTCCCAGGAGTGGGATTGTTGGGTCAAAAAGTAATATGTATTTTTTATTTTAATAGATGTTTCCGGCTTTCAAAAAAAGGCTGTAGCGCTTCACATATCTATCAGCAAAAGATGAGATTATCCCTTCCTCCACAATCTAAAACAGTCTCAAGGAGCAAAAATATAGTCACAAATGAGAGTTGCATGTTGGGAGCTTGCGAGGAGCGGGGCTCATTCAAGGAGAGGAAAAAGCTCTATGGGATTCCTTAACCAGCAATTAATGAGCTACTGGTGAGTGATTCCTCAATAGAAATTCATTCATCTTCTATGTCATGAGCTTAACACAGGCCTGGCACAGAATAAACAATTCAGAATAACCCAAAGCAGTCGGAAGACAGTAATCTCTAACTGCTAAGAGTTATCTCTAACTCCTCTCCATTTCAACTGATCCCAGTGAGTTCTTTCCTACTGGATAATACTTGCGTATTATGCCATGTGATGTATCTAGCATCTGCTCTTAATTTCATTTGATTTTATCTATCTTAGCTAAGATTCTGGGAAAAAGTTGTCTTGGATTGGAAGAAACCAGGAAACTTAGCAAAAGGATCATTCTTAAACCAGGTAACTTTTTTTGAATTCTCTACATGTGATGGTCACACCAAAAGGAGTACCCACCTCCTTCCCTCTGTGAGAGACTCATTTTTTTTTATTACGCCTCCACTCTTATTCTTGAAAGTCTCCCTGTTGCCAGGAATCCCCAGTGTTTCTGGTCCTTTACCTCCATTCTCATCCATCTTCTCTCTAGCTCTGTTCACCTTTTCAGGACAATGATCCCCAATATAATACTCCTCATCCCACCTTTCAAACCAAGACCTCTTGTTTGAGTAAGCTAAATGGATGTGTGTTCTGCAAATAAGAAAAGTATTTTTTCAAACAATGTACTAAACGTTCCCATGACTCAGTCCCTAACTATTAGTGTATCTAAAGATCTTAGAGTACAGGGAAACAAAAGATCAGCCCAGCTTCATCTTACAGTGGGGAGAGTCAGGAAATACCAAATGAGTAACAAATCTCCTAGTTTTGACCAAGCATAGCTATGCATTTATGGCCAGCATTTGCAATTAAGCTGCTTACATGTCAAAGGCGTTGTTGACATAGTAAGGGGCCATTTATAGTGGAAATAAGAGAACTGTCCGTTGACAAAGAGAGGAGGAAGAAATTACAAAGTTTACTATTTTAAATATGAAGTCATAATGCCAATTCATAATTATTCAAACACACTCCACTGAGAATGACCTTGGAGAGAGGATTGTATTATTATGCCAGGAAGGAGGAAGTCAACAAGCACACTCCATAAACAGCCTTGCCCTTGGCATTCATACAAGAGTGACACCAGCCATACTTCAGGAGTCGGATCCACCACAGCCTGCAGGGCTGGGGTAAGTGCTTTTCTCCATTCCACTCCCATTTCAGGTTTATCTGTGGCTTGGGCCTCCCCTGCACAGTGCAGTTGCAAGAAGCCTAATGTAGGGGGGCCAGCCTCGGTGGCATAGTGGTTAAGTTCGGCTTGCTCCACTTCAGCAACCGGGGTTTGGTTTCTGGATGCAGACCCACACCATTCGTGGCCATGCTGGTTTGGCAACCCACATACAAAATAGAGGAAGATTGGCACAGATGTTAGCTTAGGGCAAATCTTCCTCAGCAAAAAAAAAAAACCTGATATATGTCACCTGAGACAGCCTTGAATTTGGATCTCCTCCTTGTGTTTTGGTGTCTGGAAAAGGGCAGAGAAGGCACCTGTGGGCAGAAATTGGAGAGAAATATGGGAAACATATGGATTTAGAAGTAAAAGGAGAGTCATATGTTTAGTGTTTTGTCCATGGCAGTCTATAGAATTACCGTCTAATTATCAACATTGAAATTTACACTTGAATGAAATCCACAGTGCAATCTTCCATTTTAAAAAGAACTAGGAAAAAAATAGAATGGCAATTTGGATTTTTTACATCACCTTTGATGACCAGAAGTCTGATGTAGGGAGAGTTCTGGACAAAGTCGCACTTTCATCGGTTGCGTTATTAAGGAATGGAATGAAAGAAAATTTAGCACTTGAGATGTGAATTTGAATACAGATATGGTTAGAGTCCAGATAAGGTGATAGTGACAATGATTTCATTAACTGAACACCTAAATGGGACCATTTAACAAGGAGAGCGTGTGTTCCAACCGTGGTGCCAGGGCTACTGAAACTGAACTCTTAGCATTGGGTCCACTGGAATTGAGGGATCCAGACACATGGCAAGAATTCTAATTCTCAATATGCAAATCTGAGAAAACATCTGATTTTTTAAAAAGCCTATTTGGGAAGATTTTAAAACAGGGCTGCACTAGACAAGAATATTGAATCAGCAAAACTTACTAATGTTACAGTATTTTCTTTGCCCTTCTCTCTTCTCTGCTCCACGACCACCCTGATGCCTGCAGCTCTCCACCTCTCAGTGATGATAACTTGCTCACAGGCAGGGTCTGACATTAATCATTTATATCTTTCGTTGTGTGGATTTAAGTCAATGTATTATTTCTCTAAGAGATTTTCTATTTAAGCCTTACCTTGACTTGGGGAATGTTAAAGGGGATGAAGTATATTTGGCACCCTAAATCTTTTTTTGTGTGTGAGGAAGACCAGCCCTGAGCTAACGGCAGATGCCATTCCTCCTCTTTTTGCTGAGGAAGACTGGCCCTGGGCTAACATCCATGCCCATCTTCCTCTACTTTATATGAGATGCTGCCACAGCATGGCTTGACAAGCGGTGCTCAGTGCGCGCCCAGGGTCGGAACCTGCGAACCCTAGGCCACCAAGGCGGAGCGCGCGCACTTAATCACTGTGCCACCAGGCCGGCCCAGTGGCACCCTAAATCTTTACCTGAGTAAATTTCAGTCTTAGTTTTTTGTTCTTTTGGAGAAAAAAGATCCCCATTTAATTTAGAGGGTGATACCAGTGTCTAGACTCTACCAGACAGATATGTTCATTCATCTAGTCACCCTGGCTAAATCACAATAAACTGTATTTCTCAAAGAAGGAACACAGAAGCCTGGGAAATCTGAGATGTATAGCAATAAATTGGTATGTAAGGAAGCTGAAACTAAATGATCAGTGGCGTTCGTATCTGCGTGTGTGTAAGCAGCGGGGATGGTGCGTATTAGCACCATCTCTTCCCCCTAGTCATCTGCAGCTGCAATACTTTCCATTGCAATCCCAGGACATGCCAAGTCAATAGTGATAGATTAGCAGACATTTGGTCCTTTGAGGACCAAATGTCCTGCAAGGATTGTGATAAGCTCTGAGACCAACTCTGGGAAGGAAGGGGGTATCCTTTCCTATTCTCAGTGGTCTCAGTTCTAGAAACCACTTCAGTAAAGTCTCTTTGTCATACCTTAAAATACAAATTAAGACTCATAAATAAGTCTAAAACCTCGTTTCATTAAATTATTTTGATCTCCTTGCTTTCTAATGTTTTAAAAAGTGCTAAAAAGAATCATCAGAGACAGATTTCCCCTACCTACTCCCTTAGGAGGGAAGGAGTACTGAATCAGCAGAGGCATATTAACGGGAAGAAAAAAAAAAAAACTAGTGATCATGAATAATAACCATAATTTAAAAATTAAATGATTAAAACAATGTACCAGGCAGTTTACAAAATGTGTCCATGTTACATTATTTCTGCTGCTGAATTTGGTCAACAGACTGTACCCACAGTTAAAGGAACATTATTGATCATTTTTAAGTCTGTTCTAAAAGTTGCTAAATTTGGGGCTGGCCCCGCGGCTTAGCGGTTAAGTGCGCGTGCTCCGCTACTGGCAGCCCGGGTTCGGATCCTGGGCGTGCACCGACGCACTGCTTCTCCGGCCATGCTGAGGCTGTGTCCCACATGCAGCAACTAGAAGGATGTGCAACTATGACATACAGCTATCTACTGGGGCTTTGGGGAGATAAAAGGGGAAAATAAAAGGAGGAGGATTGGCAATAGGTGTTAGCTTAGGGCTTGTCTTCTTCAGCTAAAAAAGAGGAGGATTGGCATGGATGTTAGCTCAGGGCTGACCTTCCTCAAAAAAAAACCCATAATAATAAAAATAACAAATAACAAATAAAAAACAAAGTCTCCAAGATATATTGATAACTGGAAAAAAATAAAAATAAAAGTTGCTAAATTTAATTTACTAAAGATAGTGCGACTTCTTTGGAAACACGTGATCAACAGCTTCTTGGCTTCCTTTATCCATTGAAGAGATATTTAGTCATAGCCCAGTGTCACAATGAGGGTGACTCACAGCCTGGGAACCTGAGGACTCCTCACATATGTAGGTGCTCAAAGCTTGACAGAGGCCCAGTCTCCTCCACCACGAGAGGATCAGCGAGGTCAGGGTGGCACAACTCTTCCTTCCCCCAGCACAGCGGGCAGGTCGCAATCAGCCCAGCAAGTCCACAGCAGCTCCTGCGTCCCAGTTCATCTTTAATAAGGTAACTAATGACCGAGTTTTGTCATTTATTCCTTCATTTCTTATGTCAATCTTCCAACTGTCTTTGATTTTCCTCACTCTTACAGAATTAATCAAGTTGTCCTTCATATTGTGGTCAACTGTCACTATAAAAAAATAATAATAATATGTTAGAAGGCTGTGATGAGCACTGGGCCCATCTCACCACAGAAGTGATCGAAATGTCACCCAGGGCCTTGCCTTGAACTTCCCCAGGTCTCCCTTTGAATGTTCTTTAGTGCTAGAGTTACAATTAAATTTATATCTGGTTATTCTCTCTGTGCCTTTTCAACACGATCTGTGAGTCTTATAATTAATGGGAAGCTGGAGTGGGGAGGGGCTTCACATAGAGGAATCTTAGCTGAGTTTCTTTCTGGAACAACAGATCTGTTGCCAACTGCAGGTCTGATCTGTTTGTCCACCTGCTTTACCAATATTTGAAAGGTGTGCCCAATATTTAGAACAAGACTCAATGTTTAAATACAAGAAAAACATTACTGTTTCATACATTTCAAATGGGGAAAACGGAACTTGTTCTTAAAACTCTTATTGCAAATGTTAGTTTCTTAAGGTACCTTCTTTAAAAACTCAGACCTTTTCTTACGCCTCAAAGATAACCACGACTGAAAGAAATACACTGAAGGTTAGAACACACTTTTTGCTTCTACACATAACATTCTTTCTATATTCTAAGCTTTCTTTGAAGCCTTATACCTATAAGCTATAATAATATACACTGTATAATCTCTTCCAGTTAGCAATTTTTATTCAGGGACATAAGTAAAGTAACCATGGCTTTAAGAATAATTCTTAACCTGCCAATACTGTCAGAAAACATATTGGCAAAATAATATACCTAGGAGGGACTGGGAATATTAATTAATTAATTTATAATTATGGATGTTATAGTGAATTATAATTAAAAAGTTTTGAGAGAAGGTGAAAGAAAATCAGAGATACTTTTATCCTTAGAACTAAAAAATGCAAAACGTAAATCCATCAGGCCTTCCCTACAAACGAGCGAGCTGGCACACCTCTGCTAGGAGACTGTCTTAACGAGCCTGCAGAGGAGACATATGCTTCTCCGCACCTCACTGCCCCACTACACAAAGCAGGGTACCATGGGCCCGTTCCCTCCTGCAGGAAGCAGGATTCAAGGGAAATGTAACCAGTGGAGGAGTTCCTTCATCCCATTCAGTGAGGGAACTTACAGTCCCGTGATGATGAATACCATCTCAACTATACCATCAGCAGCATCATAATCATTATTATTGTTATTATTATTTTAATCAGACCTTCAAAGGAGCATTTGTTGCTTAATGTAAGCATATTTCATGTAGAATCCTTTGGCTCCATTTAAAATTTTTTTTTAGATTTCTAGGTGCCCAACTTGAACCTTTTTTCCACAGAAACATAATTCATTAGTCATATGAATTAGCTTGTGTCATTAGGGCCAAAAGTTCATTTTTCTTAAAAAAGGTTCAGCAGAAATCTCTGAAGGGCCACTTGGGTTAAGAAGTAACACAATTTCCTACTTCAATGAATACGTAAAAATAAAAAGGAATTTGGTGTAAGTTAACCAGGTTTACGATATTTAAATGTACAAGGGACAGACGTGCAGACTGCTGTCAATATTAAGAAAGCTTGTGCAAGAGAACCTCAGAAAGAAAATGTTTTAGAAAGCTATTGCTAAATGCTCTCTATTTGATGTATTTGGATGAACAACTTAGTTGTTGATTCAACTTAGGCCAGGATTGCAACAAATTGAAAGTAAATAAAGATTCTACACACTCCTTTCAGTCAGGGTGATTGACTAGTTTTGGTATTGCTTTCTAAAATAAAGCCCTTGATGGAGTTAGGTGGAAATAAAATCAAGTCATGTGGGAAGAGGTATCTAGAAAGGACTCCACATTTCTTACAAAAAGTATATGAACAATGACAATGAAAGACTGACATTACATTCTGTTCTTTTTTTTTTTTTTTTTAACCTGTGTCATTTATTTTTAAAGGGCAGAGAAAGATGAATAAGGGAAGGGAAACAAAGGATCTTATTTTAGATTTTTTACTAGGGAAACAAATCCAGGAAGAGAAGACTAAAAAAAGCAGAAGTGAGCAAGGATAGCAATCGAGTTGCAATATTTTCCTATAGCCACAGACAGTTACTACTTTTAAGCATTTTTGTATGGCAACTGAAAGAGAAAATTAGTTCGCCTTTCTTGGTTCCTTTCGAATCTTTGTGGCATGGTAGGGAAGTTTGAAAAATTATTTTCATTCCTTCTATTGACTGATAACAGTTAATCTCTTTGCAGTTCTTCCTTCTCTTTTTAACCGGTTTATGAGTTCAGAGATCGAAATTTTAGTCTAGCCACTCTCTGGCACATGACCTTAGGTATGATACCTACCCTTCTTAGCTCACAGTAATATTTTGACAATTAAATGAGATAACTATTGCTTGAACACTTTTCAAAACTTTTTGTGTGTGTGTGTGTGACGAAGATCAGCCCTGAGCTAACATCCATGCCAATCCTCCTCTTTTTGCTGAGGAAGACTGGCCCTGGGCTAACATCTGTGCCTATCTTCCTCCACTTTATATGGGACACAGCCACAGCATGGCATGACAAGCGGTGCATCAGTGCACGCCCGGGATCCGAGCCCAGGTTGCCAGCAGCGGAGCGCGCACACTTAACCGCTACGCCACGGAGCCGGCCCCTCAAAACTTTTTAAAGTTATCTAAATTGGAAGTGTGAATATTGTATTATGATGATGATTATTACTATCCTTCTGCCCTGATGATTCAAAAGGCTGAAAGACTAATCCAATTATCACCAGAACCCTGGAGTTAGAGTGGAAACTTCTTCTCTTCCGATCTTTCTTCTTTCCTCCCACAACATTTAATTTCTTACTGCCAAGTATCACACAAGGCACTAGTGGTGTAGAGAAGTGCCCGCATAGCCCAGACCCCCAGAGTTGAGTGGGAATCCAGGCAGCTGTGGAGCAGAGAATTAAAGCATGGATGGTGGCATCAGAGTGACCTGGGTATCAGTCCCTAAAACAGCACTACAATTGTAACTTGAGCCAATCAACCTGCATTTCTGAATTTGTTTCCTGATCTATAAAATGGAGATAATTTCATTGTAAGGTATAAATGAGATAAATATTTATGGATCCTAGCAGAGGGCCTGGAATATGGTAAGCACTCAATAAACCACAGCAGAGTAATCTCATTCCTACCTGACTGGGTTGTACGGGAGGAAGATGTATCCTGTACCCTCTCTGGGCCCTTTCTGGCTGGGCTATGAATTAAATTGACATGAGACAAAATAACAGGAGAAAATTAAACAAAGCTTTGTAACATGTATACAGGGGAGAGACCCAGGAAAAACTGGTTAACTCCTCAAAATGGCAGAGGTTCTCATCTTAAATACTATCTTCAGCTAAAGACAAAGGAGAATGTTGGAGGTAGGGGTTTGGGATTTCAGAGGGAAGGAAGGCAATTCACGTGGAAATGGAAAAGCAAATGTTTGAGAATGTGGCCCAAGAGACAGAATTTCCATAAGATGGGTTTGTTGGTGCCTTCCTTATCACACCTATTTTACATTATACTATAGTTACCTCATGGTGTTAGCTCCTTCCTGGAACAGGCCTTCTATCTTAAATTCTTTTAGGCATTTGGGGGGAAGGCCAAAGTTTCTTTCAGAGTCTTTTGTTCTTAAAAATAATCAAGGGAAAGAAACACATTTTGGGGTGGCCAATTCTGATCCCCCACAGGGTCAACTGGGAATCTCAAGGACCAGGGGTTTTCTAGGAGCACATTCTGAATTCTGTAGAGTCAACTGGCCACCCATCTAAATGGCACCCCCAGGGGAGTCTGTAGTGGCCCAAACTCAAAAAAGCCAGCCAGAATTTAGGCCTCACAAATGCTGTGAGTGCTAATTTAATAGTTTCTAAATTCACAAGTGTGTTGTACATGAATTTGGCTTTATTCATTGTCTCCTATCCTCCTGATGACAAAAAGGCATTTTTTTAAATCATAGAAATTAATGCTTACAGCAGCAGGATATGAGCAATATTTATAAGTAATAAAACTGTTTTGTTAAGGCTATAAAAAAAGTAAACTCTTGAGCCAGCCCTGATGGCCTAGCGGTTAAAATTTGACGAGGTCCGCTTTAGCAGCCCGGGTTCAGTTCCTGGGTGCGGAACCACACCACTCGTCTGTCAGTAGTCATGCTGTGGCAGGGGCTCACATAGAAGAACTAGAAGGACTTACAATGAGAATATACAACTATGTACTGGGGCTTTGGGGAGAAAAAGAAAAGAGAGAGAGAGGAAGATTGGCAGCAGATGTTAGCTCAGGGTGAATCTTTCCCAGCAAAAAATAAATAAATAAATAAAATAAACTCTCATCAATGTGGCACTATCAAGGAACCAACGACTGAGTTCCCAGAACAAGTAGTTCTGGGGGCTGTGATGTTCTCGACCTCCCAAGACAAGGAAGCTGTAGGTCAGTAGTTCTCAACTGGAGGTGATTTTGCCCTCTAGGGGACATTTGGCAATGTCTGGAGACATTTTTGGTTGTCACAACTTGGGGGGGGTGCTATTGGCATCTAGGGGTAGAAGCCGTGGGTGCTGCTAAACATCCTGCAATACACAGGAGAGGCCCTGTAACAAAGAATTATCTGGGCCAAATTATCCAAAGTACCGAGGTTTAGAAACCCATGCCTAGATATGAGCAATACATAGAGCAGACCTGACAAAGTGACAGTGATTGATCTTGCCATAATGAGAAGGTTCTTCCTGTGTAGCAGGCATTAACTTTATTTTACCAGATACTCTCCAAGGTAGATGTTATGATCTCTATTTTACAGATAGGAAAATAGAGGCTAAGAAAAGATAAATAATTTACCCAAAGGCCCTCTGATGAGAGAGGAACTGAGAGTGAACTTCTACCACCTCTACCTGTTCTGAGGCCTGGGCTCCTGACCC